TTAAAGGTACTAGAATATAAAGCTGGACAAGAATAACTTTGTGAGAAGAAAGAACTCAGGAGTGTTGAGGCAATGTAGTGCTGTATTTCTTAAAAATCAAATATTGTACTTAAAAACTCATTGAAAAGAAATAAATAATATATTTTAATATATCATAAATACCATAAGAGTTGATGGATTAAAGGTACTAGAATATAAAGCTGGACAAGAATAACTTTGTGAGAAGAAAGAACTCAGGAGTGTTGAGGCAATGTAGTGCTGTATTTCTTAAAAGATATAGATACAAGTTATTTGATCATTTTTAGAGCAAACTGTAATGGAAGAGATTATTATGGCAGGGAGATGGGCTACAGATTGCCTGCCCAAGTGACATAAATGAATAAATAAGAGGCACTGCCAGATGGTATTGGGGAATGTAAAGCTGCTAAATACTTGAGTAGGAATTTCCGGTACATTTGTGTTTCCCCTAGCCTCCGAAAGAAGAAAAGGAACTATGGGAGCTGCTATTCCAAAACGAAAATTTTACCATAGGAAACAAATTGGTCGATAAGTAGCCCTACCTTGTTAATTCTGATAAAGGAATACTGATAGACTAACTTAACTACTATAATGGATATCAGGATACACTGTACTCGGAGGAAATTGCCGTAAATCCATGGCCTAAAATGGAAGAAATAAAATTTGAAGAGCTCTTTATAGGGATACTGAGTCAGAATTTATTCAGTGGTGTACTTTATTTTTTATTTGTTAATATGTTGTTTTATGGCCTTTATTGAAAATGATTGCAGTGAGAAGAATGGTATCCACAACCAGATTTTTTATCCAGAAATGTACATCTGAATCCCTGGAGACTTTCTCAAAATATACCCATCCAAGGACTCAGCACCACTGGTAACATAATAAATAACTTCCCAGTTAATTTTGATGAGCACCTCCTATAGCAGACAGTTGATTTGAAACGATCATTTTGTACCCCGGCCATTTTTTAAAGATTTACCTGCATTTTCTACCCATGCATGAGTCATCATCCACAGGCCATACAAAATTGCCAACTTGAAAATTAGCCTGTTATATTTGGTCAAACATTTAACTTGCCTCTAATGTTGTGGCTCGAACTACAGTTACCTGGGCAGGGCCAGAACAAATAATTTCATGAGCTGGATGTAGCCTACTTCTGCTGTACAGGGATTTCCGAGGAGCAACCTGGTGGGTTTGAACCACCGATTTTCTGGGCCATACTCAAAATTGTTGCTTTGTGTAATCCCATTGTTGCAACCACTGTGCAATCATTGTCAGTCTTCCTTTTTTTGTTGATCCGATTACTAAGCATGATGTCCTTTTCTAGGGACTGGTCTCCTGATAACATGTCCAAAGTACATAAGATAGGAAGTATTGCCATCCACCCTTCAAAGGAACATTCTAGCTATACTTCTGCCAAAACACATTTGTTTTTTTTAAATGTCTTGCATCTTATCAGAATTTGAAAGTACTGGGGGAAAAAAACTAAAATTTCTATTTAGTTTTAATTTCTAATGGTTATGTTTTGATTTATTCAGTATTTTTGCCAGCTTCACAATTCAAACACATCAATAATTCTCTTATTTATGGTCCAGCATTCACATACTCGTTTTGTTGTTAAATGCCATCAAATCAGTTGCTACTGCTAATGATCCTTAGAGGGTTTCCAAGGAGTGGCTGTTGAGTGTGAACCACCAACTTTGCAGTTCAAACATGGGATTAAAAGTACCATGGCTTGGATCAAGCACATCTTAAACCTCAAACGGTTTTATTTTTGCTATTGGACACTTTAAAAAAGGCCTTTTGTGGCAGATTTGCCCAATGCAGTATGTCATTTAATTTCCTGACTGCTGTTTCCATGGGTATTGATTGTGGATCCAAGAAAAATGAAATCCTTGACGACTTCAATATTTTCCCCTTTTTCAAGCTGTTGCTTCTTGGTCCTGTTGTGAGGATTTTTGTCCGTATTGGAGGCTATGTGTAGTCTTTCATCTCCATCAGTAAGTGCTATAAATCTGCTTTCAGCAAACAATATGGTGTCATCATATTACCACAGAATCAGTCATCTTGTGGTCCTGATGCCATGTTCTTTGTACAGTTCATATTCCCAGTTTATTGCTCAGTATACAAATTAAATAATGTGAAAAAATACTAACTTGACACCTTTTTTTTTAATGTTTTATTATGAATTATGTGATAGTTTACGTGGGAGAACGTTAGTTGTACATTCATCCTGTCCTATATCGTTTCATTGCCATGGTTACAATCCTCTGCATGATCAGCCAACCAAAGGGTATATTATACGCTGCAAGGCTGCCCCCCTCCCCCACCCCCCGGTCATCAGCACACAGCCCCTCTTCTTCTCTGGTTCTAAAGTCCCCAGCTGCTCTATCTCTCCACGTCATCATCTCTGCCTCCATCTATGGTGTCACTGCTTCTCTGGGTAGGATCCCGCTCTCCACTCTTCTCCCTTGATGGTCCCAGGGACCTCTCTGCTCCTAAACTGCAAAGTTAATCCCTTC